CAAGAGTCAATGATCCTATTCCAGGGGGGGGGGGGGGGGGCACAAGTTATGGACTCCCCACTCAACACTTTTTCTTGCATTTGCATCGTGAGCAAGTGTTCCTTGGAGTGAGGTTTACTAAGGATGTGGAACATTTCCTGGAGGGGAGGGGTCGAAGGGTGTCCTCACTGTCACCACTGACCATGTAGAAATAATTATCTTTTAGGACCGAGTCTGTGGAGCATTGATGACGGGTCGAGTATTTTATCGTTGATTGCTGCAGGAAAGCTGGGCAAGGTTGCAGTCAAACTGGTGGACAAGAATCTGAAGAATAACTATCGAAACGTCCTTGATCAGTTCCAAGAAATGAACCATAGAACGATCACTGGCAGTGGAAATGGAGTCACTAGCGTATTCTGTATCATCCTCTATCTGATTAAGAAGAAACAAGAGCTGACCATTGATGAGTTGTGTGCACAGTTGGAGGACAGTGCTCCGGAGAATCGCAACCTGATCCGCACAGCTCTCCTGTAAGTATCCATCTTCAGTGTGTAGAGCTTGAAAACTTCATGTTGTGTGGTACACATGTGTTGTGTGGTACACATATGTTATGAAAGTTCAGCTCGCTTATCATTTAGACACATTGTCATAATGTGGTTCTCGTCTGGTTTGGTCCGATATCTGATATCTAACATGGTCCAGTGTACAAGTGAGCATGGTGTGATGTATGACAAACAGTGTATATGGTATGTAGTGCATGCAAGAGTACACATTGTCATAGGATGAGAATCCCTGCTTCTGTTGGTGTGTGTGAGTGGTTGTTAACTGAGTGTCGCGCATGCGTTGATTACGTGGATTGTGATTGTTCTGGTAGACCTCTACCCACATGTACAGAACAGTCTGTGAGTGAAAAGCCCGATTTATTTCAGAAATTTCACGCCCAAAGTGGTCCCAGGCTTAATGTGGTATAGATGCTGCTGGCCTAACAGTTTTTAGAAACCGGAGGTCTATACTTTCCAAACGTAACTGTAGTACTCCATTCATGGTTTAAGGGACTGTGCAGTGAGCAACACTGTATGATGCGCATACAGATGAAGCCTGGACCAACACAACACGGTCTTTCACTGCAGGTGGTCTTTAATGCAAACCAGGCCGTTCATCCTTGCACAGTTGACTAAGATTTGGTGTCTAAGAATAATAGTGGTGTAACAGGTCAGGAGGCTGCTGAACCCGCAGATGGTCACTTGACCAGGTTTCATCAGAATGAATGAAGAAACTGAGACACCGGTCGGTAACAGCCTTCGCACTCGTAATGAACGTAAACAAAACTGTGACCTGCAAATGTACACTACCCTCAGCCCTGTAGCACAAACTGGATAACTACAATGTACTTCACAGTGGTGGGGGGGGGGGGGCTGAATTCATTCAGATCTTCCAGCTGCTCCTCTACAAACAGCAGCGCCTCTGTGCACATCTCAGGAAGAGCCGTGGTATCCATCAGATTGGGGATGAAGACGATTGCTTTGAATTTGTGTGCTTCTCTATACGACTTTTGTCTTGTTGCAGTGAGGCAGAATACACGGAATAGCTATGTCGACAAGTAGAAGGCAGTGGACACAAGCACCAGGATGCTGGTTATCGAGATGTCAGCTCCGTGTGGTTTTGCCGGATTCAAGCCGGTTCTTTGTACGCTAGCTTTGTTGCATGTTCTGTGCTGCACATTGCTCCCCAGGCACAGTGGAATGATAGTGTACATAGTTTTGAACTCATCGGCACGGTGCACTCGTGCGAGTACTTGAGCGTTTTGAACTAATATTTTACTTGTCTCCTCAGTCTATGCACGTGATCATACTGAAGTTGGTAGTTGATGTTCTAAGAATTCCAAGTTTGCTGTTTCATTTTCCCTGCAATGAAATCCAAGCTATTTGCTAGGCTATATTGCCCGTTGAGTTGCCGGTTGATTTCCAGGGCCATATGCTGCCCTGTTTTCTCTCTGTGGCCGCATATTCATGTTTCCGCCACAGGGCCTGATCCCCGAACCGGGTCAAATCCTTTATTCATGTACATGTAAGTACTTGACAAACATTCTACCTAGTTATACAAGTGCTCATGCTGTATTTGTAGATGTGTGTGTAGTGTGATGCCTCATGCCAGGCAGCTGTGTGAGCCCTCAGCGGGGCGAGTTCTTGGCCTCGTTGGTCGTTCGTTTGCCCTCACTTGGCAGTGGGCGGCCGGCCACAGTGGGTAATATGCTTTAGCCTTTGGCTGGCAGGTTGATGTCTTTTGTGGCTGTTCATTGGCTGAATAGGCAGTATGATTCAGCCCTCGGTGGGCTGTACACTTTATCCCCTGTGGGGAAGTTTGCTTCAGCCCTCGGTGGGCAGGTTGCTAGCCGCGGCGGCCATTCATACGCCCTCACCGGGCAGGTTGCTGGCCGCGTTGGACATTTGTGCGCCCTTAGTGGGCAGTGAGAGTATGCTAGTCGCCCACGGCTGGAAGGATCATTCAGCCCACAATGGGCTGGCTGTTGGCCTCTGTGGCCGCTCATGTGATTGGCCCAAGGTGGGCAGCTGCGGGCTAGCTCTCGGTGGGCAATTTGTGCGTCTGCCCCGGTGGGCAGTGTGAATCGCTGACAATTGAATGTGATGATATGTTGTTGTCACTATATTTTACTTCACCAGAATTACAGGCAGTAGAATGCCTTCTCACTAGACCAAGTCTAGTTCTCACAAAGGATGAAGAATGTGAATGAACATGCTAAAGCTAATGAAAAACAAGAAATAGAAAAAGATGAGAAAAACTTGTGTTTTATATTTTATGACGGTATTTGTATGTGAGTGACAGTGATTACATGACAAGGGAAAGAAAAGAAAAATATAGAAAGAAAAGAGTAAGGAATAAACGAAGCAGATGTATGAAATAGAAATAGAGAAGTTGAGGTATTTGAGGAGAAAAGTCAGTTTGTCGATTAGAGACCAAACCAAAAGATCAAAATGCACATGTCTGACGAATGAGTCAAGACAGAGAAAGCGTGTCAAGAACATCTGGGTGTTACATGCAACCCAGGCACTACACAAGACCAAGACAAACTTGTCAGATAGGGAAAAACTCAAGACTTGTTTATCACTCGTTCAGAGCAAGACAAGACAACAAAACAACAGGCATGCGCATATGCATGCAGGCAACGTAAGTAATAAGATAACAACTTATGACGCGTTTGTACAACGCTTGCTCAGATATCACATCCCTCCACCATCAGATGGAAACGACTAGAATAACAGAAATACATAGACTGTGTCGTGGCAGCAAATAATCTGATAAGACGAACTACAGATCAAGGCGGACAGGAGCCTTTACAGAACGAGCAGAACTGCGCATAGACACGACAGGACTAGAACCACTAGACTGGTTAGGAGTAGATTCAAGAACAGATAAATCAGCATTCTCACGGATCTCATCATGTACAATTGAGTCAGGCAGTGACATAGACTCATTCGGCGGAACACTAGGTAGAGCAGTTGAAGACGGTAGAGCTGTGGTAGAAGGTAAAGCTCTGGAATATGGAAGCTGTGGTGCTGACGTAGCAGTTGAAGCATCTTGCACCGACTCAGCAGGAAGGCGTTTCTTCAGGTGGTCAGAGTGACGCTTCCAGACTCTGTTATCAACAAGACGAACCGTGAATGTTAGAGGACCAAGCTGTTCTTCCACGGTGCCAGCTATCCACTTCTGTGAGGAGTTGAAATTCATTGCCCAGACGGCATCACCACAATAGAACTGGTATACATTTGCACCACCACGATCATGGGCAGTGCACTGTTTGTCCAAGACTTTCTTGCCGCTGTCCGGGAACACGAGATCCAGACGTGAGCGGGGACGATGTTCCTTCCAAAGTAGCTCAAACGGAGAACGACCCGTTGTTGACTGCGGCGTCATTCTGTATTGGAACAGGAACCTAGCAAGGCGGGTTTCCAAATCAGGGCCAGACATCTTGGCCAAGCCAGACTTCACCGTCTGTACTGCGCGCTCGGCTAAGCCATTACTAGACGGATGATATGGTGAAACGAGAGTATGACGTATGCCATTAGATGAGCAAAACTCACGAAATTCACTACTTGCAAAAGCAGGGCCATTGTCAGAAACAATATTATAAGGTAAGCCAAGCAGAGCAAAGGTCTGCTCCAGCTTGCGAATTGCGACAGCAGCAGATGAGCCAGAGCAAACATGTGCTTCAATAAATTTACTATGACTATCGACAATAATGAAGAGCATCTTACCAGCGATGGGTCCAGCAAAGTCGACATGGACACGTAACCAAGGCTTACCAGGCCATTCCCATGGGTGGACTTGCTGGCGATGCGGCGACTTGGTGACGGTCTGGCACTGCATGCAACCACGGACGGTCTGTTCGATTTCTGCATCGAGAGACGGCCACCAGACATAGCTGCGTGCCAGGGCTTTCATTCTAGCGATACCGGGATGACCGGCGTGCAACTCGTCCAGCAATGGTGCACGACCCGGTGAAGGAATAACTACCCTGGAACCAATTAGGATACAGTTATTCAAGACAGACAGCTCACTACGACGACGGGAATATGGCTCTAATCCCTCTGGAATGTCTTGGGGCCAGCCCTCAGATACGAACTTGTATACTAATGCCAGGGACGGATCTTTGCTCGTCCAGCGAGCAACCGATGCAGACGTAACCGGTGTAGTGTTCAAGACGGATAGCGATAGTACAGCCTCGGCTGGCTGCGGCGGTTCCGGTACCAGCGCCGGATTGGGGAGGCGACTCAACCCATCAGCGCAACCGTTCTGTTTCCCAGGCTTGTACTCCAGAACAAATTCATAATTGGCTAGTTTGAGTGCCCATCGCTGAATACGACCACTAGACTGAACAGGAATGGGTCTATCAGGATCAAACAATCCCAGCAGTGGCTTATGATCTGTTTGTAGTGTAAAGTTGCGACCGAAGATGTACTTGTGGAACTTGGAGACGCCAAATACCATTGCCAAGGCCTCACGGTCAAGCTGCGAGTAATTCTTCTCACAAGACGACAGCGTTCTAGATGCAAAGGCTACTGGCCGATCAGACCCATCTGGCAGAACATGCGACAGAACTGCGCCAACACCATACGGGGAAGCGTCACAGGACACGACAATAGGTAAACTAGGATCATAATGAATACGTATCGGCTCAGAAAGCAGCAGAGACTTGCCTGTATCAAACGCTTTCTGGTGACTATCAGACCAACACCACGACTTTGATGATAACAATTCATACAATGGAGCTAACACTGAGCTTAGATTCTCGATGAACTTGTGGTAATAGTTTATGAGTCCCAGAAAGCTTCTCAGTTCAGGGACATTCTTGGGCTGTGGGGCCTTCACAAGGTCATCCACTTTCTCAGCCGACGGCCTAATGCCGACTGAATCAATAACATGGCCCAGGAACTCAATAGACTGCTGAGCCACGAGACACTTCTCACGATTCAACCTGAGACCCGCGGACGCTAGACGATCCAGGACCAGCCTCAGATTCTCATCATGCTCCGCACGAGTCTTTCCAGAAACAACAATGTCGTCGAGATACACTACGACAAAGGACAGACCTGCTAACAATTGTTCCATCGTGCGCTGAAATATTGCCGGGGCCGCCGACACGCCAAAGGGTAGGCGGTTGTAGACGAACAATCCTTTGGAGGTGTTGATTGTCGTCAGCAGCTTAGACTCGTCGTCGAGCAACAGTTGTTGATAAGCATGTTTCAGGTCAAGCTTGGAGAAGAATGCGCCTTGCGATAACTTCTGATACAAGTCGTCGATGTTGGGCAAGGGGTACTTGTCTACTCTTGCCGACTGGTTGATAGTACATTTATAATCGCCACAGATTCGTATGCTACCGTTCCGCTTGAGAACGGGTACGATTGGAGCTGCCCACTCCGAATACTGGACAGGACTAATGATGCCAGCTTCCTCCAGTCGACTCAGCTCTTTTTCCACTGCTGCTTGTAACGCATAAGGAACAGAGCGTGCCTTCAGGAACCGGGGTCTGGCGCTGTCTGCCACGGACAATTTGACTTTTCCATGTTTCCAGGTGCCCATGCTACGTTGGAAGAGCTGCGGGAACTCTGACAATATCGAGTGCTCGCGTGACACGTTGAACACGAAGTTCCAATTCAACCTCAGCAGTTGCAACGCGTCTTGACCCAGGAGATTTGGTCCGTTTCCTTGGACAACGACGATCGACAATTCTGCTGATTTACGAGAAGCATGGGTCGCAGAAGCACTAAAGCGACCGACGACATTCAGAATTCCGCCGGAGTAAGTACGCAGCTTCGGCAGATCACTTGTGTCGAGCGACAAATTGACCTTGGATGCCAGCCGATGAAATTCGTTTTCAGACATCACCGTCACGGCTGCACCCGTGTCGATTTCAAACACGACTGGCTGTTTACATAACTGGAGGGTACAACAGCACGGGTCCACGCGGTCCTTGTCACTCTGCGTGCGGTACAACGAATAGTACTCGTCCAGGCCGCTGCTGTACGGACTTGCAGTTGTAGGACCGGATGCAACACTCGCACCAGTACCAGCACTTGCACTATAACTTGGAGCAAGAGCAGGGTCGACTGGCGACGTTCCATGTACTTCTTGAGACTGGCCAACCATGTGTACACTTCCACCAGTGCTGGACTGCTGTGAACGGCAAACTTTGGCGAAGTGGTTTGGCTTCCTACACTTCCGGCACGACTTGCCCCAAGCTGGGCATGACTCGCGCTTCTCGTGCCACTGGTCTCCACATCCACCGCATTTACGTGACTGGCCACGCGATGACTGCACAAATCCACCCCGTCCAGCTTGCCTGTGACTCTGGTCTCGGTGGTGCACGGCATTGACAAGCATACTACTACTCCCGGTATAACCGGTACCAGACGAAGTAGAAGTGTTTGAGGACATTCCTTCCGACTGGGACTGGGCGTCCTCCCAAATTCTGCACATTTCCAACGCTCGTGGCAGAGTCAGGGCTGGTTCTGACAGGAGCTTCTTCTTCAGCTCACTGCTGTCGACTGTTGCTACGATCTGGTCACGTATAGCTTCCGCAGTTTGTCCTTCATTCTCGAAAGAACAAAGCCGAGCTTGCTGCCGAAGCTTGGTGCAGTACTGCACTGTGGACTCTCCCTGCCGGCGAGTGAGTTGACGGAAGACGTGCCTCTCATACGTAGGGTTTGCAGGAGCACCGAAATGAGCTTGCAAGGTACGCTTGCACTTGAGGAACTCATTGTCATTCTGTGTTCTCTGATCTGGTGGAAGGCTGTCATCTGGGTCGGATAGGTCCTCGAATAAATCCTGAACTTCTAGACCCGCGAAGTGCAAGAGCAGTGCTTTTGAACGCTTCTTGTTCGTAATGTCCTTTCCCGTCAGATAATAGTCAAAGGCTCGAACCCATTTTGTCCACCTCAGAGCCACTTGAGATGGGGGTCCGGACGTGTCGAATGGTGGAAGACGGTCACGATCTCCCTCCATCGCGCAGGACGTTGTCTTCGTCGCCAAATTGTTACATGCAACCCAGGCACTACACAAGACCAAGACAAACTTGTCAGATAGGGAAAAACTCAAGACTTGTTTATCACTCGTTCAGAACAAGACAAGACAACAAAACAACAGGCATGCGCATATGCATGCAGGCAACGTAAGTAATAAGATAACAACTTATGACGCGTTTGTACAACGCTTGCTCAGATATCACACTGGGCACAGCAGGGCTTTGAAACCCAGACTATCTTCATGGCAACGAATATTTGCCGGAAGCCTGTTCCAATACACGCTGCCCACGAATTGCATGGACGCTCGAGATGCTGGTCCACGAACGAATGGAATTTGGAGAAGACGTGAGACCTGGCCACGTGTAACACGGCGTGTGCTTTGCTCAAGACCAGGTTCAGCGATCAACAGAAAGAAAGGCGAAAATAGCATGCTTGCATTGGAGGCAAGACATCTATGGACAAAAACAATAATCTTGAGCTTAAAATGATGGATCAGTGGGGAAATATTTAATCTAGAAATAAAAGGTGCGGTCGGTGTTTGACGAGGGAGCTGAAACACAGCTCTGACTCCAGCCTTGCTGATCTTCCCCAAACGGTCGAGAAGCTGAGCTGTGAGGCTTGGGCTGTTTACCATACTGGTGTACCACGACCGTCGAGCTCTCAGCGTTAGTGAACGCCCGTGTCTCCACAATTGCCCTATGGTTTGTGCAGTTCTACGTGACACATAGTCGACATGTGGCCTCCATGACAATTGGTCGTCAACGATCACACCAAGGTATTGTGCGGTGGCCGTCACCTCCAGTTGCTCGTTGTTGCAGAAAACATCGGGTGTGGCAATGGCTGCGCCACGAGGCTGAACGAACATGACCTGAGTCTTGCTGGCATTCATTACGAGGCCGATGTCTTCAAGCCATCAGGAGATATCAGTTACTGCTCTCGTCAGAGTTCTGCCAACAAAATCTAAGTCAGGATGGGAGAAATCAAGGATTACATCGTCAGCAAATTCTTGGTGATTGACAGTTGCAGGAAGTGCTGTGTGCAGATTACGGGTGTACAACACAAAGAGAATGGGTCCAAGAACGCTCCCTTGCGGAACACCACGCGTACAGCCAACAGAGCAAGACAAGCTGTCCAGCTGCCTCACTTGCTGTGACCTGCCACTGAGGTAGTCACAGAACCAGTGTAGGGGTGCTCCTCCAATGCCTAGGGTGTACAGTTAACCAGCCTCTCATGTTGTACACGATCAAACGCCTTCGACATATCAATCATAACCAAACCGGTGTACGTGCGCTCGGATTTCGCTAATAGCCAGCGATTCACTGCTAGTACCAATGCATCTTCTGTTGAATGGCGGGGTCGATATGCAAATTGAGTCATCGGGTATAAATCATTGCTGTACAGATATTCTGTCAGCTGTCTCTTCACAAACTGCTCTAGGATACGCGAAACGATAGGGAGTAAGGATACAGGTCTGTAGTTGCGGGCTGATGAGCGGTCTCCGGCTTTATGCAGGGGACTGATGTGGGAGTGCTTGAACGTGGTGGGCACAACACCACTCTGTAGTGAACTATTAATGATACAGGAAAGTGGAGGAGCAAGCACATTTGCACATTGCCGCAGGACAATTCCAGGTACAGAGTCACTGCCGGCAGCTTTGAATGGATCCACAGCTTTAAGACACTTTTCAACATCTGCAACACTTACAGGTTTGAAGACGTGAAGACTGTTGGCTGGCATTGGCCCAAGTGGCGGGTGCAGATTCTGTGGTCTGCTTGGGTCATTGACAATTTCACCGAAGACCTGGCCGAGATCCTCAACAGAAACCTGAGGTATTTGACGTTCCTTCCGTCGCCCTGTGACTGTGTTCATTGCTGACCAAAGTTTCCGCTGATCAGGTGTGTTGCACTGGTTTACGAAGTACAGGTTACGAAGCTTTCGGTCAAGCTTCCTGGCAAAAGCTCTGGCGAGCCGATGTTGCTCATGAAGCACCTCATTGGCTTGATCCTTCATGAGTCGATGGTGTAGCCTGTTGCGGTGCCGTACTGCAGATACCAACTCCTCAGTTAACCAAGGACAGATACGGCGACCACGCTTGCGCCTCGCCACCAAGGGGGCGTGCTCATCTAGTTTTTCCATAATAGCAGACGTGAATGCACCTGTCATGTTATTTATCGTGCCGTTCCGAGGGAACTGATGAAAGTGGACACACAGATCAGTCTGAAACTTCTCCCAGTAGATGGTGTGGATACGGCGACTCTGTCCGGGTTGTGATGTTCGGTTTACCCCTGTCTGGTTTACAGGCAAGTGTGCAAGGATGGCGAAATGGTCGCTAATACAGTCAACTTCGCCAATAACGACTGCGGATATAACGACAATTCGCGAATAACGACATAATTTTCATGCCCGGAGCAAAGTACCATCCAACTGTGACACATATAATGAGACTTCGGATATAACGACACTTCGCGAATAAGGACACTTTTCTGATGCCCCGTCGAGTGTCGTTATAAGCGAAGTTGACTGTATCTCCGTAAATAGTTTCACAGGCACCAGAAACGGGTGTATTTGACGGAAACAGATCTATGGTTGAAGCCGTGTGGCTCGTGACACGATTTGGTGAGGTGACATAATTCCGAAGATTACTACAGTCAACTTCGCTTATAACGACATTCGGTGGGGCATCAAAAAAGTGTCCTTATTCGCGAAGTGTCGTTATAGCCGAAGTCTCAATACATGTACATAATTATAATAGACTTTGCTCGGGGCATGAAAATTCGGTCGTTATTCGCGAATTGTCGTTATATCCGCAGTCGTTATTAGCGAAGTTGACTGTACTGGATAGTACTCGGTGCAGATGTTGTGCGTTCGGAGAGTTCTCACAGCTGTAATCAATGTTGAAGTCTCCAATGATGACTGAGGGCCTTCCATAGCAGTTTCTATGTTCTCTTGAAGAGAGTCCCAGTACGGCGCTGGCTTGTCTGGAGGACGGTATCCACACCCGACAAGGAGAGTATCACCAGGACATCTGACTTCCAGCCATACAATCTCTAGCTCAGCAGCTTCCAAATCCATTAGTCTTCGGACAACCACAGACTCATGGCAGTAAATGCCGACGCCACCACCTTGCTGGATGGGGCGGTCCTTCCTGAAAAGTTTGTAATGAGGAATCGCCAATTCTCCATCACCAGCATCGGGTTTCAGCCAGGTTTCTGACATACCAAAGATGTGCACTACTCTGGCCGACAGGAACTCCTTCACCTCATCCACTTTCCGTCTGATGCTGCAAGCATTCAGAAATGAGATTGTCAGCATTGACCTTTAGATTTGCTGCGGGTAAGCACTCCATCGTTGAGATCGCTGGTCGCTGACTGATCTTTTGGTCCGTCAGGCTTCTGCATATCCACTGAGTTCCCAGATCCAGGGTACTTGTCGAAGTTCCATTTTCGACTGTAGTACGGAGATGGCCAAAATTCCTTTGTATTTACAAGTTCAATACTCGTCCTGTTGAGAATGAGTCGGGCTGAGTGACCTTTCTCCTTGGGAAATAGCGTGAAATCATGGATTTGCACCTTCACGCCAACATCTTGCGCCCTTTGTTGTACGTATTGACAAAGGGTATCTGCATCGCAATCCTTCCGGAGGTTGCCCACAAACAGAACAGCCTTCCTTCCTGTTGGCTTCTTGGTGCAGATCAGCTGCCATAAATTGCTGCCTTCCGCATCCTCTTCAAAAGTAGGGAGCATTCTGGAAAGTCCTTGCTTGCCAGGTTTTGCATCAGTTGGAGCATCTGGGTCCATTTGATGCACCCTGTACGCTTCAGTCACGCTGGTATCGTGTTGTTCGGTACGTACAACTGAGGAGCATGGTTCAACCGAATCTCGTACTACAGTCAACTTCGCTTATAACGACATTCGGTGGGGCATCAAAAAAGTGTCCTTATTCGCGAAGTGTTGTTATAGCCGAAGTCTCAATACATGTACATAATTATAATAGACTTTGCTCGGGGCATGAAAATTCGGTCGTTATTCGCGAATTGTCGTTAGGCCACACGTTTTTATTTCTATGTTTCTCGTCACCCGCGCGCATACGATTCAGGAGTCTGGAAGAAAAAAAGAAAAAAAAGTGCTGCACGGACTGTGCATGTGGGGACCAGCACACTCATGCACATGCACATTATGGCCTGGCCTGCGCGACACATGATGCAAGGACGGCATTTTTTATTGCTGCACATGCACATATTTTGACAGAACTCCTACCACAGACTAGTTCCTAACTATGGATGCTATTTTGCAGGTGCATTGGTGGATTTTAGTGTGAACCAGGGAGTAGTGAAATTTTACTACTCCCTGGTGTGAACGAAGGTCTAATAAACTTTTTATATTTTTCGGTCATTTTTTATTTTTTCCACCTCTCGCATACGTTTTTAGATTTTCAGGTGACGAGAAACATAGAAATATAAACGTGTGGCCTTATATCCGCAGTCGTTATTAGCGAAGTTGACTGTAGTTCCTTTTGAGGACAGCCAGCTACGGGTACGGGTACGCCAGGGCTGGAAGCTGCAACTCGCTTCTGTTTCTTCTGGGATGATTTTTGCACCGGGGGAGATCCTTGGCGTCTTTGGCCGCCATTGTCGTCTTGAGCAGACTGCAAAGCCGTCATCTCGTTTGTGAGCACTTCTACCTTCCGCGTTAGGTGGTCGATACGATTTAGAAGTCGTTTCTCCCTATCCTCAGCTGCACTGCGGTCTAGCTCCAGTATCTCAACGATCTTCAGAAAGTAAAATTTCTCCATACTAGTACTCTGGTTTGAACTTGCCGATTCGAAGGTGGGGGACACCAGATCTGCCGGACACTCGACATCTACTGGCACGCCTGTCGCCATAGCCCAGGACAGTGTTGTACCTGGCATGGGATGGTCTCTACACAGCTAAAAAAGCCCAAAAACATAGGAGCGTGGGAAACTGCTTCCGACCGAAGTAGT